AACTGAGGAATAAGCTGCATAATGTTGCTAACTGTATAACCTGCTTAACGACACAATGAACAATAATGTGTTACTGATGCCAATGACCTAATGTAACCTATTGATATAAATAAAGCTGGTAGTTTGGGCATTCTGAAATTTTGCCATCTTTCGTGCCTCTACATCTTGTCTCTGTGTCTCCTTTTCATTTTCCTTACACCTAGTTCATTGATCCCCTTTAAATTTTGTTCAGGATGAGAGACAGGGATTACATTTTGTTCTGCTATATATGGATTTCCAATTTTCCTAGCAACATTTTTTTTTAAGATACTATGCTGGGTTTCTGTTCTCACAACTAAAAGGTTCAGGGATTACTCCAGTTGAACTGGGATAACTGGGCTGTGTAAAATAACAAGTACCTTTTTCTTTGGGGTTGCTTTGATGGCTCCTCTGACCTGAAGGGTCTGCAAAAGAGCACACACTGAGCCCTTTTATTGAGGAGAAGCTATTCAAATGAGGCAAGGGGTCAGGTTTCAGGGAGCTGAGTCTATCTTTATGCTGTCTACTGTCAGCAGGTTGACTGACACCTGGGTAGGCCACACCCAAGGGCACAGTTAGAGAGGGGGACACACACACAAGGTACTTCCATGGAAGATTCTATTCTAAACAAGGCAAAGGGTTATATTACAAAGAAACAGGTGAGCATAGCTTCACCAATGGGGCTGTAGCAAGACACACTCATGCATGAGACTCTGACCCTCAAACCCAAGAAGGGTGGGGAAATCCACATGTAGAAGAACAAAATGTGACCTCCATTGCTCACCCTTCACAAAGTCAACTCACACTGGATCAAATCCCTAGGAAAGAGACCAGAAATTGCAACTGCTAAAATAAAATGTAGGTCCAACACAGTAACCTGTTGGAACAGGAAACATCTTTCTTAACTAGACTCCTAATGCACAAGAAATAAAATCAAAAAATCAATAAGTGGGTTAACATCAAATGAAAAAACTTCTGCACAGCAAAAAAACAAGATCATGAAGAAAAAGCCTAAAGAATTGGAGGAAATCTTTGCCACCTGCTCCTCAGATATATCTAGAATATATATAAAACTCAAAAAACTTAACACTGATAAACCAAATAACCTAATTAACAAAAAGAAAAAGGAACTAAACAAACACTTCTCAAAACAAAAAATACAAGTGGCCAACAAATAAATGAAAAAAAAATGTTTCAACATCTCTACCAATTAGGGAAATGCAAATCAAAACTACATTGAGATTTCAGCTCACACCCATCAGAATGACAATTATCAAGAATACAAATAAGTATTGGTGAGGATGGGGAAACTGAAAATTAGTGCAACCACTTTGGAAAGCAGTATGGAGATTTCTCAAAGAACTATGAATGAAACCACCATATGACCCAGCAATCTCACTCCTCAGTATATATCCAAAAGATCTAAAATTGACATACTATAAGGATGTAGCCACATCCATATTTATAGAAGCACAATTTACAATAACTAAGCCATGGAACCACCCTAGTTTCCCATTAACAGATGAATGGACTAAGAAAATGTAGTCTATATACACAATGGAATTTTTCCTCAGTGAAAAAATTGAAATTATGGCATTTGCTGGTAAATATATAGAACTGGAGACGATCATGCTAAGTGAAATAAGCAAAACTCAGAAAATTAAAGTTGAATGCTTTCCCTAATATGCAGAATCTAGTAAAAAATAATGGGTAAGAGAGATGGAAAGAAAGGGAACAGGAGGCAGGATTCCATCAAAATAAAATTGGTGAACTAGATGGAGGGAATTGTGTGTAAGGGAGAAGGGACCAGATAAGAAAAGAGCAGCAGAATAAATCT